ATATATATATATATATACATATGGTCAAAAGTTTGTGGACGCCTGACCATCACACCCATATGTGGGCCTTCCCCGAAACTGTTGCCACAAAGCACACAATTGTATGGGATGTCTTTGTATGCTGTAGCATTACAATTTCATGTCACTGGGACTAAGGGGTCTAGTCCAAATCCGTTTCAGCATGACAGTCCCCCTATGCTCAAAGTGAGGTCCATGAAGACATGATTTGCTAAGGTTGGAGTGGAAGAAATTAAGTGGCCTGCACAGAACCCTGACCTCAACCCCACTGAACACCTTTGGGATGATCAGGAATGTAGACTGCACACCAGGCGTCCTCACTCGACATCAGTACCTGACCTCACTAATGCTCTTGTGGCAATCAGTTCCAAATCTAGTGGAAAGACTTCCCAGAAGACTGGAGGTTATTATAACAACAAAGTGGGACTTAGTCTGGAATGGGATGTTCAACAAGCATATTTGAGTGTAATGGTCAGGTGTCCCAATACTTTTGTCCATATAGTATATATATATATATATATATATATATATATATATATATATATATATATATATATATATATATATATAATGTATGTGTGTGTGTATATATATATATATATACAATTGACATTGCATTAACTTGAACTAGGAAGCTTCTCATTTGCCATGAACGTAGCATTAACTGTCCCAGCTTTTTTTTTTTTTTGCCAAAGTTTAAGGTCAAATGTTCACTGTCATAATCAAGTATAGAATAGAACTAAGCAAACTTTATTAACAAGAAATAAGAAGAGAAATTCCTGCTCTGCTCACCAGTTATAACATTTTGGTAGAGGATTCTGACATGATTGTCACGGTCACTACGAGAATGCTCATGATGAAATCCCAGAGCATGGAGAAGCTCATGTTGAACGATATGATGGTAAACACAGCCGTTGCGTTCTAGGGAAACAACCTGCCTTCCACCCCTGCGACCCACGAAAGAGTAGCACCTATACAGCAAAGAATAAATTCAAGACTGCTTTCATTACATGAGAGCTGGATGGGAGTTAAAGCAACTGTTTGACAATATGTTTCTGAAAAATGGTCCTAAATATTAGGATTGTTGATATACCCAGAGTCTGAGATTATATGAATGTAGTCTTCTTCATTGATGCGATGTACAAATTGGACACAGGTTGAATTTTCGAAGGACTTCAGCCCACGCTGGATAACACGTCTTTCAAAGAATGCTGTCAGACAGATTGAAGAGAAGTTTGTTAAAGTTAGCTAATGGAGCTCTGACACATATTACTGATACCAGGTAAGAAGTGATACTCACAATACTGCCTGGAAATGATGAAGGGCACATTAACCTTCCCATCACTGCCCTTGCGCCACTTGCACTGACGAGAAGTACATGGATCTGCATTCTGGAGCCCAGTGTACACTGCTATGTCACCATGTACAATGGTGAACTCACCCTTTAACTTTCCTGTCCAGTGAAACACAATTGTCTACATTGGGATCCATAGTAAATGCATTATTTTTCAGAAACTTTTCTTAAGAAAATGTCTACAGACTGTTTTACTAAACTAAAGGAAGACTGAACATTAAAAGCTAGAAAGGACTTCAGAGAGCTAGCCCTATATTTACTTCAATGAGAAGTCTTACTTTCAAAATGTTTCAATTTGCCCATGTTTAAAATATGTCCCATGACCAATGAAACTAGATCTAGTGAACACGCACCTTCCAGAAAGATGAACTAGCAGTTATTAAATGAGAATCAGATAGTCATCAGTGGACATCATATGTTTAATAAAGTTAATCAAATATTTCGAAAAAGTGATTACTATTAAATAGTATGTCTTATAGTTCTTTCACATGTGAGTAAGCACTAACAATGTCACACAGGAACACTGTTGTGTTGTAAGATATGTCAGACAATTGTTTCTACCAATAAAATATTGATGCTTAATCCATAGGCGAAATCAATCACAGTCATATATCACTGTTAAACATTTACTGTACTGTGCCCTTAGTGTTTAATAAGAATGAGCAGAATTGTTACAATTATATACATAACCTCTTTATAATGTATTCATTCTAACACAACCAATTATGCTGTGACAGCTACACAATTCTTTGCCAGCTTACCACTTATACATATGGTCACAAAAGTACCTACAATATATATTACTTCAATCATCAGCCTTATTTTTATACAGGGCCAAGAAGCCAAGAAGTCAAGTGCATTTTTTCAATCTTACCAGCATTCTTGTTGGCTCTTTCAATTATCGCAGATACAGAGAAATAATCCTGGTCAATGCTGTTATCTGAAATGAATTTGATTAAATTAGTAAAAAAAAAAAAAGCGTAGCTATAAAATTTCTAAACTGTACAGATAAATTAAGTAAGCCTCAAGTAAATCAAGTAGCATCTTACCAGTCTCGTCAGAGGTCTCATTAACCAGTGCCTGGTTGATAAATATTTAAAATGTCTGTGAGCTGACCTTTTTACTTAGTACATATGCAGATGCCAAATAAAAAGCAATATGGTACTTAAAATAGGTCTTTTTAGATTTACTCAAATTTAGTCATAATGTATTTTATGTTATTAAAATTTCTATTAGCTCACCTTTATAGAACGACTCTGAACTAGACTGATGCTGAGCAGCAGCAGGATGATGTCTTGCATCAGGGACATGATGAGAGTCACATTCAGTGTAGCAGCACTGAGAGTGGAGAATGCTCAGGTAGAAGTACAGTTTAAATACCCTCACAGGAGTTTTCCCTCTCACAGAACTCAGCTTCTATGTCTGAAGGGTTATGGCAAACCAAGAAATGGAACTAGAAAATCTTACGCAAAAATGTCTTGTTTTGGGTTTTTTTTCCTTTTTGCAACACTTTTTGCAAAACAGTTTTGAAGCTTCTTTGAAAATCTCCAACTGTGGAACATGGGCTGATATAAATTCTTATTCTAATGGAAAAATCCTAAAAATTCTAACCCATAAAGAAATGGTTAATGAATTTAGTGTAAAGTCCTGACCTCAACTTCTTCCAACACCTTTAGGATGAAGTGGAACCATCTCTGAGTCAGGCCTTACTGCCCACCATTGCCATGTTCCAAAATCTAGTGGAAAGTCTTCCCAGAAGAGTGGAGCAGCAAAGCATGGACAATGGCCATTAGCCAGGTCCAAACTTTTCTTGTCGTGAGTCAGAGACAGAAAAATGATGCAGTCATACCACAGACTGTAATAATAAAAATAAGTATGTGTGTATGTATATATATATATATATATATATATATATATATATACTGTATATATTTATTATTATATGGGGTCCCTGGAGGTCTACTGGTTAGGCCTCTGCATTCTAATCGCCGCAGCCTGGCTTCGATTCCAGCCCAGGGAACCGACCCCAGCCACTGGGGTTGCACAAGACAGGGCACTCCCAGTGCCTGACCCAAGCCAGGATAAAAATGGGGAGGAAGGGCCCCCGGCGTAAAAACTGTGCCAATCAATATGCGGACCAATGATCCGCTGTGGTGACCCCTAACGGGAGCAGCTGAAAGAAGAAGAAAAATATATATATTTATTATTATATAAAATATAATAATTTATTCAAGTGATTAATTCAGTAGGTTTTTAAGCACTTTCTGATCAATGGTTGACAGTTGCAGATTTTAATCATTCTAATGGGAACAATGATGACTCAAAATTAATATCAAATCAAATGTAAGTTTTCTTGTGGAGATTCAAAGCTTGTTGCAAAGGTGACTGATACTTTCTGTTCTTATTCAGCACTAGTGCACAACTTGAAAGAGTTTCACTTCATATTATACATCAGTTAGTTCTGGTCCATTATTATGATTGTATAAGCAGCGTTCTAAGAGTCCTGATAGCAATAGTTCGTTACACTGAAACCGGTACTACACTTACTATTGGCTGCTGTCAGTCAGTCTGTGTGTTACCATGGCAACATGCTGTGGCTTCTTAGGGAACTATTTTCATTGATAGAGCAAAAATAAACAAAATATTTGGCCATATTGTGTCTGAAATGTCAGTTACATGCGATACTGCTTAAATGTCTTTTATCATTATACTCCTTCATTACAGCAACTGGTTCCTGACAGAATATCAGACACAATTCCCTCTTTTTCGTTTCTTTGTCATCACCATTTCCAGCCAAAATCTTGGTAACATGAATATAGCCATGTAAAATTTATATAGTTAACATTTTGAGAAGGGGGAAATTTGGAAATGGGTGTTTTAGATTTATTTTTATGTGAGAGCAACACCTAGTGTTTAGTTTTTTTTAACTTCTCAATTGTGGGCTAACTTATTTTATTTATAAAATGCCTCGCATGCCATTTGAAAAATGGTAGCGGCCAGTAATTTGAACACCCCTGCCATCAGCACATATATGTACTCAGTATCTTTGCTTTTTTACTGTGCAGGTTGTTTATATTGACTTGTAATGATAAATGTAATGGTACCCATATCTGGACTATAACACTCATCATAAGCACTTACTGATATAATGTTTGGGTGTCCACATACTTTTGGCCATGTAGTGTACCTTGTGTTGTGTCTACTAAAAAGACAACACGCTAGACTATTGTTGCTATCAAACTTGGTGTTTTGTTTTTTTCTCAACCCTGAGTGCAGATTTTACATGTAAACCAATCTTTATTTCACCTTTAGTACTGATAAATTTCTAATAAATTTCATCTAAATTAGTTAATAAGTTGGCCGATAGAAACTAGGACTAGTAAGATTGTTGCTGTGGTTACAGTGTGCATGTCACCTGAGCCACTTTTCCCCTCATTTTAAATAAGCACTACCACCGGTGTTTTGTGATTATTATTATTATTATTATTATTATTATTATTATTATTATTATTGGCTAGTTAGCTCTTACTAGCTAGTTGGTAGTAGCATGTTATGATTGCAGTGTGTATTTCACAGACTACAAAAGGCATGCATATTTTATTAGCATTATCATGTAAACTAAATCTTAAAAGTATACAGAAATGACCTAGCCATTATGTTGTCTTATTTGCTCTCAGTGGCAATTTGTGACAAAGTTACAGTTTGTGTCAAGTTTGTGACAAGTCACAAACTGTCAAATCTTTCACAGGATGCTGCCATATTTTGGGTCTTGTAGCATGCTGAGTACTACAAAATCACAGACAGGATACACAACCTCTGCAAATTCCACTTTTCAAACATGGTTCTGAATGCCTATGGTGAGTTCTCTGCATATCTGATTGGCTGGCAGGTGACAAGCATGCAAGGTATTGCAGTAGTTGTCATGGCAATATTAGAAGCTGATGGATCAAAAAACGTCTTATTCTCTAATGATCATTAGTACTATTTATTAATTTTTAGTACCTTGTTTTACCCCATTATTTAATTTGTCTTATTTATATAACAGTGGTGAATAGTTTTTTCCCCATGTTTTATGTAATATGAGCAAATGGTGTGCTAATTTTAGTTTGTTCAGTTTTCTTCTTCTTCTTCTTCTTCTTCTTCTTATTGTTGTTGTTGTTGTTGTTGTTTGAGTAATTAGAATGTAACTTTTAAATTCATTTGTCAGCCCTGTTTTGTACCATAACAGCTCCCAGTTGTATGAAACACTTAAGAATGTTGTTTGCATATATTTTAACTATATGGATATGAGTTTAAACAATAAAGTGAAACTCATTAGTAATGCCAGAAGTGTTACTTTGTTGTTCTTCAGTAGTTAATGAAGATCTACAACAGTACTGTAAAGTGAAACACATGTAAAATCATTAGTAATAAGTGAAGTGTTACTGTGTTGTAGTTAATGATTATGTGAAACAGTATTACACATTCCATTACTGATTTTTGTTATTTAAAAGAAATTATTTACAAAAAATTAAAAGTATGTTACTGTTCATTGTTACAATGCAGTCTTTTGCTTTTGTAAGTTATTGTTGTATAATTCTGTCTTTAGTCTTTGACTGGCTAAATAAAAACAACACTCTGACCCTGTGCTCCTCTGAGGAAACCTATAATTACTCATACAAATATTTTCATTATAGACACTGAGGTGTTAGAATAGGTTGAGGTACATTACATAGTAGAACTCCAGGAGAAAGGTAAGAATTAGCTATTGGGGATTAATGTCAATCAGTAATTAATCAGTAATTATAATAAAAGTGCCATAATTCTGCAGGAGAAATGTAAGACTCAGTAATTACTGTTTAAGTCTCAGTTAATTACTGCATAGTTAATAGTGAACTCATACTAACATACTTACTGAGTAAATAACTAGTAGTTCTTAGTATTTTATATGAATAAGGAAGAACAGTTCATTTGTTCCTACTTAGTTCCTGCATAGTTACCTATGTGTTGTTGAAGAGTATTGTAAAGTGTTACTCATCATATATAGGGTGATGCAAATAATTTGTATGTGTATATTTTTTTCCATGACACTGGGTTGGGTAGACGGAAGTTTTTAACTCATATAATATGATTTAGTTGATGTCCATTATAGGCCTACTTCAGGTAACACCACATCATTGGTGTAGAAATGATGTGGAGGTTTAGCATTCCTTGCTACTAAATTTGGATCACAGTTTGGTCAGTGTTTTGGATCATTAAATCACAGATAAATAGCTCAGCAAACCACATGCTGTAATCTCTCCACCATGCTTTGCATTCAAGAATAAGTTTTTGGTATGCATAATTTAGTTGTCTCCAAATCGTGCTCGTCCAAATTATTTTGTATTCTAGTGGATTTTATAATGTTTTTTGGAGATAAGAGGTGGTTCTTACAATATTAAGTACAATTATATGCTGTGCTTGCTAGGTCAGTGCATACATTGAAATCTTACAAAGATGTACAAAATATACCTATAAGTCTTTATCTGTCCACCTGGAGATGTCATTCATTAAATTTTTTTAAATACCAGGAAACAAACGCTTGAATGTTTTGTTAGCTCATGGAAAATCCACACCTGATTTTCTTTTGGGGAAACCTATTATAGTAGAAAATAATAGATTTGTCAATGACATTGACAGTTTAAACTAGTAAAATGTTATGTGTCTCCATCTACTTTCATACATAAAAGAAGATCATTCCAAAGCCCCTTGTCTTGGATATAATTATTGTCTGTAAACATCTACCAAAAATGAACCTCATAAATTTAGTGGCTGCTCAACTCTCATCAGTTGTACAGTTTTGAAACTCTTTCTTTGAACAATTTGTGTTTCAAAATGCTGCAATTTCTGGTCATGTTTTGTAATGCTGCAGTAATGTGTGTTTATTTTCCTGTGTGGGGGCTGGTTGTTGTCTAATCCTAACGGTTTAAAAGCTTGCGCACAGGCATCTTAACTGGCTGCAGGTCTATCTTTGTTGCCACATCAGAGGCTTTGGTAAACAATCGTTGGAAGTGTTCATTTGTTCTCTTCTCTTGCGTTCTCTTATCTTGCATTCCCAACACTGTTGTTGAAGCTGCAGGTTGTTGTTTCAGCACTCCAACAGCCCCATTTACGTTTTCAGCCATTAGACCAAGAACAGTGTTCCCCTTGAAAATGTTTTTTGTGAAAACTATAATGGCCTCAGCTGATGTGCCTGCTGTGCACATGAGAACTACATGTATAGCAGGGATCCGAACAGTCCGTCTGGTGGGGCAAAGAGGCTTCAAAGAGGTGAAACTGTGCCGTGATTTTGCAATGTCCTTAAAATTTGGCTTGAATTTGACAGACTGGTTGAAAAAGCATCCTAATTCATAGACTAAACCCAGTGTGACTCTTTACTGAAGCGGCTACACATGCAGCTTGTGTAATCGAAGTCACTGCAGCCCACAGTGACTCTACAATTGCATTGGTTGCTTCTTTTTTAAGGGCTGACTTGTTTGTAGCTCCATCATACTTTTGCCCTCTGAGTTGAGATGGAGGTGTAGCTGTTTCATGACATCACATGCCATATGTACTAAAGCTTTTCCTAATGTAAGTAACATCTCAAAAAAGCCTATGAACCCCTCTGTTGAGTGAAGATCAGAATCTATAGTACATATCGTAGAAAGATATATTCTTGTTCTTGCCTGTTATATCCTGGGTTGCATCAATGAGAGCTGTACTACTGGCAATGAATGTATTTCAGAGTCTATTTATCTGACTATGGTATTGCCCTTTAACATCAAATCTCAATTAGAATTCTTGGACTTGTAAAGTTCTTGTGTCCTTTCAACCAGGTGGTTCTATGCCTTGTACTGAAGGAGCTGGCTGAAATTTCCACTTATAACAAACCTTGTGACAAAAAAGTATGTGGACACCTGATTTTACAACTTTATTTTGCCCCCTAGTCCAAGAGAAGTCAAGTAAAATTTGGGAAGGTCCAGTTACATAAAATTCCTTCCTTATAAAGGTCTGGTTAAGCAA